ACTATTTGTGCGCATCGTTGATGCCTTGGGCCAATGGTCTCCGTATTTCACTCAGAGGGTCGATGCTCTTAATCGGCAAGGGCTCAGTCCACTACAAAAGTGTACTGCAGCTATCCGCCAACTAGCTACTGGTAGTTCTGCAGATGCACTAGATGAGTACTTGAAGATTGGGGAGACAACTGCAATGGAGTGTTTGAAGAATTTTGCCAAAGGTGTTAGAGAGGTATTTGGTGCAAGGTATCTAAGGCGTCCTACAGTGGAAGATACTGAACGGCTACTAAAACTTGGTGAGAGACGAGGCTTTCCTGGTATGTTTGGCAGCATTGACTGCATGCATTGGCAATGGGAAAGATGCCCAAATGCTTGGAAGGGTCAGTTTACTCGTGGTGATCAAAAACATCCAACTTTGATACTTGAGGCAGTGGCATCACATGATCTTTGGCTTTGGCATGCATTCTTTGGAGTAGCTGGTTCTAACAATGATATTAATGTTTTGAACCAATCTACTGTTTTTATCAATGAGCTCAAAGGACAAGCTCCTAGAGTCCAGTACATGGTGAATGGAAATCAGTACAACATAGGGTACTTTCTTGGTGATGGAATATATCCTGAATGGGCAGTATTTGTTAAGTCAATTCGACTCCCTACTGATGAGAAGGAGAGGAGGTATGCAGCAGAACAAGAAGGGGCAAGAAAGGATATCGAGAGAGCCTTTGGTGTACTGCAGCGTCGCTTTTGCATTTTAAAACTACCTGCTCGTCTATTTGACAGGGCTGTACTCCGTGATGTCGTGCTAGCATGCATCATACTTCACAATATGATAGTTGAAGATGAGAAGGAGGCAGAGATTATTGAAGAGAATCTGGACCTAAACGTTCCTCCTAGTTCGACAACCGTTCAAGAACCGGAATTCTCTCCGGATCAGGAAGTTCCATTAGAGAGAGTTTTAGAAAAAGATACTAGTATTAGAGATCGATCGGCTCATCGTCGACTTAAGAAAGATTTGGTGGAACATATATGGAATAAATTTGGTCCTCTTCCACCTAGACCAGGAATTTGAGCTAATACATGTATGTTTAATTTTTTTGTACCAATTATACATATATATTTCTTGCTGTGACCTGAACTAATACTGTGCTATTTTTTTTAACTTATGCAGGGTGAAAGCAACTACTGGAGTCTATGGGGTGCAGCAATTTGGACTTTTGGAAGTCATGATTGGTTGAAGATGAGCTCTGTAGCTCTTATATCTAATATATATCTATATTATTATATGCACTTGAGCTCATTTTAGTGATGATTGCTGCTGCTGTCCTGAGAGTAGCAAGCTATATGTACTTTGTTTTTTTCTACCTTAAGTACCAGTCATCTATATGTTCCTGTGATCTGAACTGTTATCTTGATCACTACTATTTATCAATGCACTATGTGAGTGCAGTTTCAGACTTTGCACTATGTGAATGCAGTTCCAGAACTATTTGTCGATCAATGCTATTTATCAAGTTGCTCTTGTGTATGTATTACAGTTTTGTTGTGAAAAGTAAATGTCTGATGCTTCAATGTCAGTTTTGTTGTATGTCACTTGTGCTCATATATCAGTTTAGCTCTTGGGGCCTGTTTCTCTTTGCTCGTGTGTACAATTTGCTGTGAAATGGCTACAGAATTAAGGATGCATATGATCCGATAAGCAAACAGCAATTAATTGCTTTGCAAAGCATGGGAAACGGCAAAGTGAAATAGCTGCACTGTGGATGTTGTTTCAATACTCGTTTCATTGCTGCTTTGTCATCATTTTTTTATGGGAAACAGTGTATTGAAACTGGAGCACTGAGGTGAGCTCTGTGGACTCTGTTGACTCGTTGTCGTTGACCACAGAAGACGAAGAGGCTGCGCTTCGTTCAACCCGTGGGCCCGCTCCGCCGCATCGTCTTCTCCGGTACGCATCCATTCCATTTCACCTCTCCGGCTCTCGGCTCTCCCCACACAAAACCCTCCTACACAGCGCTACAACCACCGGAAAACCCCCGTCACGCACGGCCGCCGCCATGCCCCCCACCCGCAGCCCGCTTGAGGTCGCCGTCCGGGCCGCCGTCGCTGGCGACCTCCGCCCCATCAAGGGTAACCTCTCTCTCTCTCTCTCTCGCGTGCAATTTGATCCTCTATTCCTCTCCTCTCCCCTGTTCATTGGTGTAGAAATGGCGACCACTATGGACCTGCGGCGAGGCAGGGGCAGAAACGGCCGGAACATGCTCCACTTCTCGGCGACCTCGGGGGTTCTGGACCTCTGCAGTTTCCTCGTCGAGGAGGCGGGCTTCGATCCCAACTCCGTCTCGGCGGAAGGTAACCCCATTCCCCATGCTCTCTCTCCGCCTCCTCGCCGGATCTTAGGCACGCAGCGGAGTAATAATTACCTAGAATCCTGCTCCGTGACGTCAGACGAGTGATGACCAACGCTTGGTGCCTCTCCATCCACTTGCAGGCGAGACGCCCATCCTCACCGCCACCGAGGCCGACGTGGACGACGGCGGCGCCGCAATCGTCCCTGTCGTGAGGTACCTTATCGAGCGCGGTGGCGACCCGGCGAAGCCCGACGCCAAGGGGTGCACGCCGATGCACAATGCCGCGGAGTTCGGTGCGTCGATCAATTCCTCGCCCTTGATACATACATTTTCTGCAACTTCTCGGAATTATCTCGTGCTCCAGTTGCGTGCGCTCGTCTGGACTTTGAAGTTTCTGCGTGCGTGTACTATTTCTTTAATCTGTGCTGTGCCTGCAGGGCACGTCGAGGTTGTAAGGCTGCTGCTGTCCAAGGGCGTTCCCGTGGATCCTGTCGAACGTCGTGGCACGCCGCTGCACTTGGCCGCGGTGACTGACAATCACCAGGCTCTAAAGCTCTTGCTGGATCATGGTGCTGATGTAAGCTGCAGGGTATCCTTGCGTTGTTACCCTGTTGCACTGGCAGTTGGGCACACAATACAGTAGAAAAGCACTGTGCCAGATAAATCTTTGGTTTGTCTTAGCAGAATATAGTACATAATTGTTCATTGATCATTGGCGATTTGACACGTAATCGTTCATTGTTGTAGCTTTAGCAGAATATATTCTCAATGGTCGCATTTTATATATCAGTGATCTGCCTGGCTAATACTCATTTCTCACTGCAGCCCAATAGAGTTGTCACTCATATATTTTCACCGCTCTTTTTGGCATGCTTTGGTCACTCCTTCAAATGCTTGAAGCTATTAGTCAAGGTCCCGTTACTTGTTGGCTCAAACTTCTTGATAACATTATAAATTTTGTAAATTATGTTTCACTGAACCTACTTGTACTCTATCCTCTGTAGGCTGGTGCTGATGTGAATTTTGTAAGGAACTGGTGCCTTGTTTAGATCCCATCAAAGTTCCAAGAATTTTTTTGCATGGAGTATTAAAAGGTAACAACAGTTTAGTTGAAAATCACGAGATGAATCTTTTGAGCCTAGTTGGTCCACGATTGGACAATATTTGCCAAATAAGACGAAAGTGATACTATTCATCAGGTTGAAAAAAGTTTCAATCTAAACAAGGCCGTAGTTGAAGATGGCTTAACTGACTTTGTCAGGTTCTTGTTGGAGGCTGGAGCTGACCCTAATATTCCTGATGGGGTAATCATGGCTCTTTCTCTCCCTCTCTGCCGTTTCTTTACTTTGTAGGTTTAATATGAGGTGTACAATCTCAATTCCCTTTGCATATCTGATAGCTGGGCAGTAGAATAAAACCAAGGTCTGTCAGATTCCGAGCTAGTTTCACTCCCCTTTAAAAATCTTTCATGCTGTTTGTATGTATTTTCAACAATCAGTCATTAGCTTTTGTTTTCTGATCGTGACAGCATAAGTGGTGCCAGTATGTAGGTCCAGAGCATATCGGGAATTATTCTGCTATTTGAAATGCTTGTCTAGGCACATGTACTATGGGTCTGATTGGTTGTCTGCACAACCCCTTCTCCGGTCTCCGATAATGCAAAATAGACTTGATTGGTCACCTGCACTATCCTCAAAGCAGTGCTGATCTGCATCCCACTATTCACCCGAATTCAAGCGTATCCACTCTGCAAAACTGGACAGCACCCGCTGTGCGGCGGCCTTTGCACCCGCAGTGCAGCCCACATGCACCCGCTCTGCAGCGGCTCCCGTGAGATAGGATTAACCCCCGCGTCTCCCTCCTCTGCCCCCCGCGTATCCACTCTGCATGTCTATTTCGAATATGGAGTTAGCTGTTTGCATGTGCTAATTCGCCTGTATATGTGCATTCTATTTTAAGACCTTTTGGTAAATTGAGTTAGCTGTACATGTGCTAATTCCGCTGTTTGCATGTCTGAAGACAACACTTGTGAAGTGTATGGGTAGGACATGGCTGTTGCTGGCAGCTTGCGGTAATAAAAACACTTGTGTTTTTTTTTTTTTTTTTTTTTGCCATTTCCTCAGTTGCAGTAATAATAAAAAGCCTAGGAACACTTGTGAAGTCAAGCTAGAGACAGATTAAGAAGGGGGTGAGATACACCTGAGGTAACCCGGACAACACTTGTGCAGTCAACCAAACACACACGTTTGTACTCCCCTGTGCCTACGCATGGAAACCAATCACGTGCGCAACAGTATACACCTACATATCCAGTCCAACCAAACAACTGCAAGTTGCATTGCCTAATGCAGAATAAGGGTATGCAGCGTAGGATCTATGTGCTATGCAAGCTAATGTGAGTAACTAATCAGACCCTATAATTTCCAGCACTTGATCATTGACTGGATCTTAAGATGGAGTGTTTTTTAGTTTTCCTTCAAATTCTACTCTATGTATTTAACGATATATAGGACTATCAATGACATTGCTATGAATTCATGAATGTCTTATTTTTTTCCAAAAGAAGTTACGAGGGAAAAAGAAGCTGTACTGTTGATATCCTTTTTATCACCTTTCATGCTGGACTATGTTACCACTTCCATTTTTGTCATTTTAATGCAGAATGGCAGACTCCCAATCATGCTACCAGCTACTCGTGAGAAACGTGAGCTTGTCGAGATTCTACTTCCTCAGACAAAGCCAATTCCATCTGTGCCAGACTGGACTGTTGATGGGATTATCAGAGCTATGAAATTGATACAGTCGTCCGAGCCTCAGGTATGTTAGCACACTTATCGAAAGCTTTCTTAGTTAACAGACAAACACATGCATGATTATGAATTCATGATTTGAATATAGGAGCAAAATTTTGCTGACTGTACTATTTATCATGCTGTTGGAACCTCTTGTATGTAACTGAACATGTGGCATCATGTTTAGGAGTTGGTGGAAAAACGATTAGCTGATGCCAAGTCACAAGGAAAGGAAGCGTTTGCAGATGGGCGCTATGTGGCTGCCGCCTACTACTATATGCAGGTATATCCTTGAACCAAAAATAATGCATTGTTTGCTTGTTGGGATAATATAGTACATTGCACTGTAGATATGTAGTTCTGAAATATCACAATACTCAGGAAACATGGACTCACTTTTCATTTTGCCTTGAAATGAAATGGCAGAGCAATCAAACTAGTGCTGACAGAAGCTGCTGAATCAATTTACTGTGATTCAACCGAACCCTGGGATAACTTGAGTCCTCAACGATTTGTTCATGCAGGCAAAAGAGATTGATCCGCATGACGCCACCGTATTCTCCAACCTGAGCCTATGCTGGTTGCGGCTGAGAGAAGGGGAACAAGCTTTGGCATACGCTCGGCAATGCAAAGCGTTGCGTCCTGATTGGTCCAAGGCATGGTACCGTGAGGGCATGGCTCTCAGCTTCCTCGAGGTAGCTCGCATTACATTGAATCAGCCTTCCAATGAACCTATCTAGTCTCTGCACCCGTAATGGTCTCACTGTATTGTCAATCTCGATCCACAGGACTACAATAGAGCGGTCAATGCGCTCCATGAAGCGCTGAAACTTGACCCTGCAAGCAACGAGATCAAGGAAGCATTAAGGTAGGTAGTGGTGCTCTCATTTGGCACCATCTGTTACATGTTTTTTTCACCCCAGTGGTTACCCTAAGCAAGAGTCGGCATCCATTGGGGCAGGGACATTTGAACCCCAGGCCTTGGGTACGGCTTTCGTGGTGTGTGATTTGAATGGCACTCTTATTAGGTTTTTTGATTGTTAAAACCTGCAGAGAGGCCGTGGAGGCACACTTGAACTCCTTGTTCAATGGAGAGGACCCCTGAGCGGCTACTTCAATTCCCTTCACATATCGTCTTGCATTCCTAACACTGTGCGGCTGATGCTAAATGTTGCCAAAATGTGCTGCGGCATGGACCAACTAGTTTAGTATTATTTGCTCTTTTGCAAGATCATTTTGTGGCTTTCAGTACGTAAGCTTATTAGCCAGGAAAGCATGCATATTGATGGACTGGATCGTTGATCTTGCACTCTATATATTCACATATTGTAGACTGTAGATGTGTTCCAGGAATATGGACTTATTATTAGCGGTCAGGGGCACTAGTTATGTGCTAATGCATGTTATTTCGTTGAAATTGGGGGGTACCGCATTTGCAGGCTTGTCGATCAACATACAAGCCTCTGGTGTGGTCTTTTGTTTACAGTAAGCAAATTGTGGAGTATGCACACTGCATATTCCTTTTATTTTCCCTTGCGAACAACATAATCTGGGGATTGTTCTTGTCTGCTATTCGGAATTTCCATTTCTTGTGGCAAGCACAGTTCCCTGAGGGCCCATGTTGTTACGTGGATGCTAGGATTGAGAGGAGAGAGTCGAGGGGAGCGACGGCGGCTGATGTGCTACAGTACCGCGGGTACTGTTCACGTCTAGGGCTGCGAGGGTGAGAGAGAGCCGTCCGCGGGGCGTTTGTCCACGGCCGGGCAAGAGTAAGGGTTTTCTTCTTAATTCTTGCTTATTAGATTGATACATCTCTCATTATATAGAGAGGTTTGACTTGGCCCCTAAGCAAGCGACTAATTAACTCTAATGGGCTAGAGCCCAATAGGCCCTCGACTCCTCTGACACATGTCGTGTTGGGCTAGGCTGTATTCGAGGACTGGGCCGAGCCAAGCAAATCCACGTGGACCAGACAGTCCAACTCGGGTTCCTGCCAACCGGCACAAATAAGCAGCACCACGGTACGGATCCTCCCGCCCGTTCCTGTCTCCGAAACGGAGGAAATTCCTAAGGCGCCGTTCGGTTATAGCGATACGACGGTAGGAACCCTTCCGAGCTTATATTTTTTTAGGGGAAGAAAGCTTATATAAATTCAGTAACGAATCCTGCTGAAAACTGTTCCTGGGGTCATTCCCCAGGAAGTGAACGGGGCCTAACCGATGTCTGAGTTTACAGCTAATGTATCACCACACACAAAGAACACACGCCGACACGCGAACAGAGTGGAACAATTTGAGTTTTTTTCAGGGGGGACGGACGGAACAATTTGAGTTTGGTGCTGTCCAAACAGCCGCTGCATTTTCTCGTTCTATCATCCTTTTATGTATATTCAACTAATACTAGCGTCCTCACGTTCGAAGCGCCCGCGCAACTGTCAGTGTGCTTCGCGCCCCACGGCTGCTGCTGTTGGCCACGCACATGCTGCTGCTGCTGGGTTCGCATGTGCTGCTATTGCCCCGCCTGCACGGGAGAGCATGTGCATGGGGCCCGCCTAGCTGCATGTTAGAGAGAGGATGGGAGCACAGCGAGCATACCCTTGTTGACCCCAAATGCATGCTCCACAATGGGGGACCAAGCCGGGTGGTGCTGGGACGTCTGGCTCTGCGTCCGTTGGGTGTTGGTTCGCTCTGGCGCTCTGAAAGGTCCTAATGGCTAGAGGAGGGTGAATAGCCTAATAAAAATTTCTACAACAGCACTTAACAAAAGGATTAGACAATTATGAGGCGAAGCGAGTTTTGCGCTAGCCTACTCAAAATGCAAGCCACCTACCACAATTCTAGTTTAGGTAGAATCTATTCACACAATAGCTATGCCACTATTCTATGTTAGTGTGCTCTCAAAGGCTAACTAAAGAGCCACACTAACCAAACTAACAAGCTCTCACTAGTTACACTAAAGAGCTTGACAACTAGTTTGCGGTAATGTAAAGAGAGTGATAAGAAGGTTATACCGTCGTATCGAGTAAGGAACCAATCAATCACAAGGATGAATTACAATGAAGATCAATCACCTCGGAATCAATGATGAGCACAATGATTTTTTTACCGAGGTTCACTTGCTTGCCGGCAAGCTAGTCCTCATTGTGGCGATACACTCACTTAGAGGTTCACACGCTAATTGGCTTCACACGCCAAACCCTCAATAGAGTGCCGCACAACCAACACAAGATGAGGATCACACAAGCCACGAGCAATCCACTAGAGTACCTTTTGGCGCTCCACCGGGGAAAGGTCAAGAACCCCTCACAATCACCACGATCGGAGCCGGAGACAATCACCACCCTCCGCTCAACGATCCTTGCTGCTCCAAGCCGTCTAGGTGGCAGCAACCACCAAGAGTAACAAGCGAAATCCGCAGCGAAACACAATTACCAAGTGCCTCTAGATGCAATCACTCAAGCAATGCACTTAGATCACTCCCAATCTCACAAAGATGTTTAATCTATGGTGCAAATGAGTGGGAGGGCTTTGGCTAAACTCACAAGATTACTATATCAATGCAAATGGCCAAGAGGAGTGAGCTTGAACCGGCCATAGGGCTTAAATAGAAGCCCCCACGAAATAGAGCCGTTGTACCCCTTCACTGGGTACTGATCGGGCTGACCGGACGCTGGTCCTCAGCGTCCGGTCGCCTGAAGGCGGCCACGTGTCACCTGCGTTCAACTGTGAACGTTTGATCTCAACGGTCGAAATGTTGATCGGACGCTCCGACAGAACTGACCGGACGCTGAACGTTTACAGTAAGGGTCCAAAACCAGTTTTTGCCGACCGGACGCGTCCGGTCATGCTTGACCGGACACAGCCCAGCGTCCGGTGCTTAACCCTCACTACTGTGCCGTCCGACCACTCGACCGAACGCAACCTTTCAGCGTTCGGTCGCAGAGCGACCCAGCGTCCGGTCAGTTGACTGACGCCAGCATCATTGCGACCAACTCCATTTCACTTCTAACTTCTTCACCCTTGCTCAAATGTGCCAACCACCAAGTGTATCACCTTGTGCACATGTGTTAGCATATTTTCACAAATATTTTCAAGGGTGTTAGCATTTCACTAGATCCTAAATGCATATGCAATGAGTTAGAGCATCTAGTGGCACTTTGATAACCGCATTTCGATACGAGTTTCTCCCCTCTTAATAGTACGGCTATCAATCCTAAATGTGATCACACTCTCTAAGTGTCTTGATCACCAAAACAAAATAGCTCCTACAAAATATACTTTTGCCTTGAGCTTTTTGTTTTTCTCTTTCTTCTTTCCAAATCGAAGCACTTGATCATCACCATGCCATCATCATCATCATGCTATGATCTTCATTTGCTTCACCACTCGGAGTGTGCTACCTATCTCATGATCACTTGATAAATTAGGTTAGCACTTAGGGTTTCATCAATTCACCAAAACCAAACTAGAACTTTCAATCTCTCCCTTTTTGGTAATTGATGACAACCCTTATACAAAGATATGAATTAAAATTCAATTGAATCCATGTTGCTTGTTCAAGCATATTTACCATGTGTAAAATGATATGGACAAGTTTCATGAATCCTAAATTGTAGCAATTGCTTCCCCTACATATGTGCTAAGAGTTTGTATTGAAGCTTGCACATATGCTTAGATAGGAAATGTACGAGACAATGTCTACCAAATGATGCTAAGGTATAAAAGATGAACCTTTAAAGCGTGATACCAATCGGAGTGCACCATTATACCATCCTTAGCACCATAGTTAGCTTGATACCACTTGGAAACAACACTTTGGAAATGAAATCATTAGTTGTCATATGCATGCTAGTTTTTTATTTCATCATTTCAAGTTTACAACTAGCATTCATCACACAAGCATGGATATTTAAAATTTAAAACTTGTGTCATGCAAGCAAACATATAAAATGCACATTCAAATGCACCATACAAGTTCATGAGCTTGCTCCCCCTACTTGTGTGCTCAAAATTTTAATTGATTACTTTCCTTTGTCATATCTTTCCCCCTATGTCAAGTTCTCCCCTTTTGTTGTCTTTTCACTATCTTAGTACACTAATATCTTCGTTTTTCTCCCCATGTACTAATATCTTTGTTTCTCTCCCTCTTTGTCATCAATGACCACAAAGGTTCAAAATATAGGTAGGTTGAGATTATCAATGTCAATCAATGGGGTGAGGATCATTTTCTCAAATTTGGTTCAAACTAGAATATTTGCCAAAGATATTTAACTCGGTTTAATCCAAGGACAAGCTTCTTCACACCTCCAAATAAGGGTTATCTTGTACCATGTTGAGTTAAACACTTAGAGCTCATTTTCTAGATTAAACACTAGGTTTACAAGCCCACAAACATGTCATATGCTATCACTAGATCAAGTCAAGCATAGAAGCAATAGTGATACCATATAAACATCAAATTTATTTGGTTTTCATGAATGAGCCTAATAAAATAGAGAGATGACTAGATGCACTAAACATGTCCTTAGCAAGGATGTATGACATGCCAATCAACTTTTACCTTGGATTGCTCGAAGGAGAGGCATGTCATATAAGTGGGGGTGCATCAACACATATTTGAGAAATCTAATATGTTCAACTCATTCCTTAGCTTGCAAAATCTTTTCTCATCTAATGGCTTGGTGAATATATCGGTAAGTTGATCTTCGGTGCCTACACTCTCAATGCAAATATTCCCTTTTTGTTGGTGATCTCTTATGAAATGGTGGAGGACATCAATGTGCTTTGTTCTTGCATGTTGCACCGGATTGTTGGTCAACTTGATTGTACTTTCATTGTCACATAGCAATGGCACTTTCTTGAACTTGATTCCAAAGTCACTCAAAGTGGCCTTCATCCAAAGTATTTGTGCACAACAACTACCGGCGGATATGTATTCGGCTTCGGTGGTTGATAATGCAACACTATTTTGCTTCTTTGATGACCATGAAATAAGTGATCTTCCCAACAATTGACATGTGCCCGAGGTGCTCTTCCTTTCAACCTTGCATCCCGCATAATCCGAGTCAGAATAACCAACTTGCTCAAACTTAGCTCCTTTGGGATA